ATAGGTGAGGTGTATATGAAAGCATGTATTTCTGATCCTAAATCAAATGTTTCTTTGTTCGTCTCGTCCTCAGCTTAGAATTCGTATCTCGCTCTCACACGAGAAGGAGCCTCTTGGAACGGGTGAGTGTTCACACTTCACAAGCAGACTAAAAGGGGCATGGAATTGAGCCTAGAGGGACTCCACTGTCCTTTTAGAGTTGATGGCCAAAATATTGTCGCACCTGCTGTAAATCTTTTTTTTTTTCCCCATACAACCTGTGATGCTTCTTGTTTAAAATGAAATTTAACGCATTCTTTACCTTGGGAATTAGCTGGTCCTCTGGCCCTGGCCCGCAAGCTGCTGGACATAGACAACGAGCCCTTCTTCGTCCTCAACTCAGACGTCATCTGTGACTTTCCCTTCCAAGATATGCTGAAGTTCCACTGCGACCACGGCAAGGAGGGCACCATTGTGGTGAGAGCGAGATGTACAGCGAATCCCCACATATTAACCGTTTGCCTTTTGCCATTGTCGTTGGATTTAAGATGGCTCCTAACAGACATTTGTGTGAAGGTGACTCGCGTGGAGGAACCGTCCAAGTACGGCGTGGTGGTGTTTGAGGCTGAAAGCGGCAAGATCCATCGCTTCGTAGAGAAGCCGCAGGTGTTTGTGTCCAACAAGATCAACGCCGGCATGTACATATTTAATTCCAGCATGCTCAGCAGAATCCAGGTGAGGAAAATTGTGGACCAACGTGAATGCGTATTTGATGTTCCATAAACTGTAGCGGACTGCCTTTTGTGTGCAGTTGAGACCGACATCCATAGAGAAAGAGATTTTCCCCGTCATGGCTGAAGAGGGACAGCTGTACGCCATGGAGCTGCAGGGTAACTCTGACGAGACTTGCCTAGCCTAGCTTAGCAGAGTTGAGGAACTGAGCTCTGTCATGTAGAGAATTTTACTCTTCAGCGTCTTATTCGAGAACAGCAAGTACAGTGGTACCTCTACTTACGAACGTCTCTTCATACGAAATTATCAAGTTGCGACACGCCTCAACAGGAAAAGGTCGCCTCTTGTTACGAAAGAAATTTCAAGATACGAAAGGTAAAAATACAGTATGGGCTGCTACTCGCAGCTCCGAGTTTCCTGAACGCAACATACTTAGAGCTGCTCTGCCATTGGCTATTACCGAGCATCATCCTGGCATCTCATTGGCTAAGAGGGACCTCTACAATATGTGCCTATGTGTATGTAAGATGGATTTGTGTCTATGCAGCGTCCTCATAATTCGCCCCTTAGGCCATGCAGCGTTACGATAGTTTTACGCAAATGTGAATCACCGTTAAAATGTGTTCACCAGTTGGGTGATCGTGATCGCTCACTATGCTGATGTTTACAACACTCCAGGCAAAAACTACTTCTGAGAGAGAACGTGAACTAAAGAGGGCAAAAAAAAAACGATGAGAATGCAATTAAAAGTTAAATCACCACCATTTTTATTGACATTATGCGCAACTCTCATTTATTGTGCAATAATCTAATTGTAATATGTATTTGTTACATATCTTGATGCATTTTTATGTTTCATAAAACAATTATGTCTGAATTTTGAAGCGGCTTGGAACGGATTAGGGCATTTACATGCAAAATGCGTCTCTACTTACAAAATGTTCCAGTTCAGAAATTTCTTCCAGAACATATTCATACATAGAGAGAGTTACCACTGGAGTGCAAACAGTACTGAAACAATGACAATTTTTGTTTTGCTCGTGTTCAACGGTATCCCGTGTGCGTCCCGTACAGGTTTCTGGATGGACATCGGGCAGCCAAAAGACTTCCTCACGGGAATGTGCATGTACCTGCAGTCGCTACGACAACACGCCCCTGAGAAACTGCGCACCGGGCCCGGTTTCCTTGGCAACGTTCTGGTGGTGAGTCTGTTTGTCGTTATCCTGAACGGAGTCTTCGGTGTTCCTGACAAGTCCTGGCTTTCTACTCCGCAAGGATCCGACGGCTCAGATCGGCGAGAACTGCACCATCGGTCCCAACGTAACCATCGGTGCCGGCGTGGTAGTGGAGGACGGAGTGCGGGTCAAGCGCTGCACGGTTTTAAAGGGGGCCCGAGTCCGCTCGCACTCCTGGCTGGAGAGCTGCATCGTGGGCTGGAGCTCCTCCGTTGGCCAGTGGGTCAGTTGTGACTTTTTTTCTTGAATAAGTTTGGCTTTATTGCAAACGTGGCAAAACCAAATCCCGTGCTCTGCGTCCTCTCCGCGTCAGGTCCGCATGGAGAACGTGACGGTTCTGGGTGAGGACGTGCTTGTCAATGACGAGCTTTACCTGAACGGCGCCAACGTCCTGCCGCACAAGTCCATCAGCGAGTCGGTTCCGGAACCGCGTATCATCATGTAGCCTCAAAAAAAAAAAAAACATCGGCTTCTTCTGTGAACTCCTCTGAACTGCCAAATTGTACCACAGAGTCCAAAGTCAGCAGTATCGCCGCCGAACAACCAGACTAACTTTCACCCTTTTTTTTTTTAATCACTTTCACTGATTGGCTAAGGCCGATGTCATGTGACGGCGGTGGCAGGAAGGAACAGTCAGGACTGCACTTCATCGCCATGGACTGAGAAAAGTCGAGATTGACAACTGACGGGCAGCAGAGGAACTGGCGCACTGGAACCTCAGAAGTCCAATATGGCGACCTTGCATTTGTTCCGTTTTCAAAGCGATTGTTCCTTCATAGAACTGGCGAGAATTTCCCCCGGGGGTTAAACATCATAAAATGGCGCGTTTGCTGGGTAACATTTTAGCATGCATGAAAACCAAAGGAAGTTAACCATTTACAGTAAAATAATCAATTTAACTTTGATGCCAAAAGATCCTGATTCCCCGTGTTTTTTTTAACCGCTTTGATATGTCACATGGCTTCTAGCGTGTCTTCGTCTGTACTGCTTTGATTCCATGTCACTTTCTGTGGGTCTTTGAGACAGCTTTGTTGGAACCAACTTTGAAGGGCCGTCTCTTGTGGTGTCTCTTGGTTCCTGCGTTGATGATGAAACATGACTTTCCGTCTTCTTGAAATGCTTTTGATGTAACTTCTCGCGTGTCTTCTTCAATACTGCTTTGACTTCTTGTGTATCGACTGCTTTAATGTTTCGGTTGACCTCATGTGCATCTTCTCTCCCGCTTTGATGTCTTCATGTCGATCTTTTTTTACCGATTTAATTACGACTTACCTTCCGACGTCTACTGCGTTCCGTTCTTGCCTGTTTTTTTTTTTTTTGTTTTTTTACCGCATATGTCACATGACTTCTTGTGTGTCTTCGTCTTTACTGCTTTGATTCCATGTCACTTTCTGTGGGTCTTTGAGACAGCTTTGTTGGAACCAACTTTGAAGGGCCGTCTCTTGTGGTGTCTCTTGGTTCCTGCGTTGATGATGAAACATGACTTTCCGTCTTCTTGAAATGCTTTTGATGTAACTTCTCGCGTGTCTTCTTGAGACAGCTTTGTTGTAACCAACTTTGTCACCAACTTTGAAGGGCCGTCACTTGTGGTGTCTCTTGGTTCCTGCGTTGATGATGAAACATGACTTTCCGTCTTCTTGAAATGCTTTTGATGTAACTTCTCGCGTGTCTTCTTCAATACTGCTTTGACTTCTTGTGTATCGACGGTTTTAATGTTTCGGTTGACTTCATGTGCATCTTCTCTACCGCTTTGATGTCTTCATGTAGATCTTTTTTTACCGATTTAATTACGACTTACCTTCCGACGTCTACTGCGTTCCGTTCTTGCCTTTCTGCGTATCTATACCGCTTTGATGGTTTCATGTGACTTACTTTCCATATTTCCTGTTTTTT